AGTTAACAGTGGTAGAGTTGGTCCGTGCAATGGTGACAGTGAGGACAGGAAGTCAAGCTCAGGACTTTGGGTCCCTGTGGGTTGTCCAGCCGTCCTCAGAAGCAGGCTGGTCTAGCGCCATCTTCAGGATCTTCCTGTGTGACAGAGCCGGCTGACATGATCTGTGGTTTCAACTATCTCTGCAAAACCTCAGCAAGAAACAGGCAGGAGAGAATCCCCCACCTCTTCTTCCTCCTCAGCCGTTGGCCCCAGTTCTTCCCCATAGAGGCAAACTTAGCTCTTGCCTTTCAGTGATCCACACTGCTCTTCCCAGATCGCTCACCCTGCTTTGCAGCTGAAACTCCGCTCACGTCACTGAGGCGCAAAGACAGAATCTTTCACATGAACGTAATGGGTTCCCCACACTGTTTTCCTTCTAAACCTGAATCAATACTCTGGGAGGCTTAAGGACTGGTCTCTTACTGACACTGAAAAATATAATAGAGCTGGTTCTTATATTTCTTTCTTTTTTTTTTCCTAAAGATTTTATTTATTTATTTGACAGGTAGAGTTACAGACAGTGAGAGGGAGAGACAGAAAGGTCTTCCTTCTGTTGGTTCACTCCCCAAATGGCCGCAATGGCCGGAGCTGCATCGATCCAAAGCCAGGAGCCTGGTGCTTCTTCCCAGTCTCCCAAGCGGGTGCAGGGGCCCAAGCACTTGGGCCATCTTCTACTGCTTTCCCAGGCCACAGCAGAGAGCTGGATTGGAAGCGGGGCAACCAGGACTAGAACTGGCGCCCATATGGGATGCTGGCACCATAGGTGGAGGATTAACCTACTGCGCCACCGCGTCTGCCCCAGTTACTACATTTCTTAAAGGTGGCTGTATCAACCACGGTTCAGCCAGGAAGGCAACACTAGTAGGACATGTGTATTGAGAGATTTATTCAAGGAATTGGCTGATGCAGTTGTGAGAGCTGGCTAGCTAAGCCTGAAATTGTGAGGCAGGCAGTCAGGAAGGGTGCCCTTGATCCCTAGCCTGGGGCTGATGCTGGCATCCACAAGAGGGATGTCTTCCTCTTTGGAGAACCCTGAGCCAGCTCACTTATGATCTTTCAGTGGGTTGAAAATGCCCCACCCAGACTACCTAGGATGAGTTCCCTTACTTCAGAGCATCTGATTATGGACTTAACTGTATCCATAAAATACCTTTACAACAATGCCTACATTTCTGATTGATTGAAGAACTGGGCAAGTGGCCTAGGCAAGTTCACACATAAAACTGACCATCTGAGTGGGTGACTTGTGTACTTGTGACAGCCAGGCTTTGTCCGGCTGTAAATTCCTGAACCTTTACTGCCTTTCAACTAAGTCATTGTTTTTGGAGATTTATCCTTAGAGGGATGCATTTGAATATGCGTTTCATTATTTAATTCTTTCCATGCTGTGTTGGTTTCCTAAGCCACAGGAGCTACAGAAAGGACAAGTTGGATGAGGTAGTGAACAGGAGTAGTCTGCGAATCTTGATGTGGAGACCACTGGTTTTCTGTTTATAATACTCATGTTTCTTTGTTACCTTATAGTCATTATCTTCCACAAATACTTATCGGGCATCTGTGATGTGCCAGGAACTGTTTTAAGCCTTTGAGGTGCTTCACTGAATCAAATGGTCTCTGTTTATATTGAGCCCATATTCTAGTGGAAAAAAGCAAATAACCACCTAATTCTCTAGTGCCGATAAGTAGTGATAAGTGTTAAGAATAATAAAGTAGGGGAGGGTCGGGCCTTTGGTTGAATGATTCAGATACTGGTTAAGATACCAGAGTCCCACATTTGAGTACATGAGTTTGGTTCCTGGCCTTGGCTCCTATTCCAGCTTCCTGCCAATGTATACCCTGGGAGGCAGTGGTGATGGCGTGAGTGTTTCGGAGTGTTTGGATTGAGTTCCCGGCTCCTGATTTCAGCTGCAGCCAGGGACTGTTGTGGGCATTTGGAAAGTGAACTATTGGATAGGAGCTCTCTTTCTTTGTCTCTCTAATTAAAAAAATAAATAAATAAAACAAGGGAAATGAATATACAGCGGTGAGGATTTATGTGTGCAGAACAACATACACAATTTGTGGGGCCCAGTGCAAAGGGAAAAGTCTATGTCTCTTATTCCAAAAGCAGAGGAGGGGGAATGCCATTAAATATTCTAAAACATAAAGCATTTTCCATTTTCTGTGAATCTATTTCTGGAAATCATGGTGTTTTGTTATTATTATAATCTAGTCAGTGCTCTAAGTAAAGAAATTAAGAATTTAGTTTATTGTCAAGAACTTAGTATTCATCTTTTTATTGTAGGGTGCCCACTTTAAATGCAAATATAAGAGCAGGATCACTGAAATTGCACAGTTTGCACGTTCTCATTCCTACTGCACTCAATTTTTTAGCAGAACAGTGAAAGCCCTGCACAGAACCAACAGCCCTGTTCAGATGGCACCGTTGGCAGATGCCCATTCTGCTGGCGCCCTTCAGCGTTGAGTAGTGTGCTCTGTATGCATAGAACCTTATGTGATTGCACAGGCTCCTGAGTTGGAGGATCTCACAGGAGCAGGGCTGCAGTAATCCTGCCTTTCCCTTTCCTTTTTTTTTTTTTTTTTTTTTTTTTTGACAGGCAGAGTGGACAGTGAGAGAGAGAGAGACAGAGAGAAAGGTCTTCCTTTGCCGTTGGTTCACCCTCCAATGGCCGCCACGGCCGGCACGCTGCGGCTGGCGCACCGCGCTGATCCCATGGCAGGAGCCAGGAGCCAGGTGCTTTTCCTGGTCTCCCATGGGGTGCAGGGCCCAAGCACCTGGGCCATCCTCCACTGCACTCCCTGGCCACAGCAGAGAGCTGGCCTGGAAGAGGGGCAACCGGGACAGAATCCGGCGCCCCAACCGGGACTAGAACCCGGTGTGCCGGCGCCGCTAGGCGGAGGATTAGCCTAGTGAGCTGCGGCGCCGGCTTTCCCTTTCCTTCTAAGGTGCCATCTTCACCCACATGCTGGCTTCTCACAGGGTAGAGAGAAGGGTGGGTGGGAAAGGGGCTGATGGGATTCCTTGGCCGTTCACGTTTCTTAGAACACAGCTGACTTGCTTCTGCATTTGAAGCCAGGAGAGGCCTCTGCACATGGAAGTGTCCGTGCTTAGTCACAGACTCAACATGCTTATCTTGGATGTATGCCTTTTGACTCTTGCTACATCCCTGTGTCATTACAGCTCTCAGGATTCTGTAGTACCAGACGTGACTAATGCATATAAGTAGCAAGAATGGGAGAGGCACGTGGAATGAATACCTCCTTTACTCATATACGAGAGTTCTCCAAAAGGTTCCTGGAAAAATGGAGTTAAATTTATTTTGATCTTAAAAATCCATGCATAGGTTTTTTGTTGTTGTTGTTTGTTGTTGTTGTTGTTTTTGACAGGCAGAGTTAGACAGACAGACAGAGAGAAAGGTCTTCCTTCCGTTGGTTCACCCCCCAAATGGCCACTACAGCCAGGGCGCTGTGCAGATCCGAAGCCAGGAGCCAGGTGCTTCCTCCTGGTCTCCCTATGTGGGTGCAGGGCCCAAGCACCTGGGCCATCCTCCACTGCCTTCCTGAGCCACAGCAGAGAGCTGGACTGGAAGAGGAACAACCGGAACAGAACCGGCACCCCAACTGGGACTAGAACCTGGAGTGCCAGCGCCGCAGGCGGAGGATTAGCCTAGTGTGTTGCAGTGCCGGCTGCATAGGTTTTCCTTAATACACATTTTCATGGAATTTTTGAAAAGACACCTTGTGTGTGTGAATATGTTCTGCTGACCATTGGACTTTGCTTATGAAATACAAATCCAAAGATAAAATTATTAAGAATTTCAAGGTGGTGACATTAAATCAAAAGCATTAAATCAAATATGGCGTCCCTCTGAATAGTGTGCTCTTTATGCATAGAGCCTTATGTGATTGCACAGGCTGCTTGTGCACTCTGCTGTATCCTGTTGATGAGGAGAGAAAATCCCCATGTAGGTGAACAAGCAAGGCTTGCTTATAGATATCTAGGGACAGGGAACCCTGTTTAGAGGTCCCAGGGTGAGTGTGTCTTTGGCTTACTCTCAGAAGAAGGAGGAGACCACTCTGACGGGATCCCTAAGTGAGGAATAGGAGATGAAATCAGAGAAGCAGAGAGCCCCTGAATCATGCATGGCCTTGAAGACCAAGGTCAGGACTTGAGATTTTCTATGAGAAGATACAAAGACTTGGCAACAATTTGAGTAGAGGTCTGGGATACCACTAGTAGATGTTAAAGGGATCCCTCCAGCCACCGTGTGGCAACACTTTCACTAGGGACAAGGTTGGAGGAGATGGTGCCAGTTTGGATGCTGTTATAAGAGACCAAGCAAAGATGGGGCCATGAATTGTGTGCAATAGATAGCAGTGATAAAATATGATCACCTTCTGAGTGTGCTTTGAAACAGGTCCAACAAGGTTACATATACAGTGGATCTTTACCTAGGGCCTGGCAGATAAAAATGGCCCAGTGAGATGTAATAGTGAATTCCTTGAGGTTTTATAGCAGGTGCATGAAAGAACTGGGGGAGGCAGAAGGAGTCTGGTGTACCTCTTCATCTGTTCTGTTCTTCACTATCTCTAGACTTTTCCCAAAATAGCTGTTGTAACATCCTCATACATAAAGATTTCATCTCTAAGATTTCACCTGTATGTCAGATCTTGGAGGAGTTTCTCAGAACATATGGTCCTGGATGGGGCAACTGTACCACGGATCCCTGTCTTCATGGTCTCTGCCAAGGGATAGGCTTTCTTGTAGTTCATTATCGTAGCATCTTGACAGCAGTGTCAACCACCTACCCATGCCTCATCCAAGAGACTAAATATCTCTTGACCTCCCCTACTAAACCTGAGTTAATAAAACATAGATTTTGCTACTGGCTTTGATATACAGTTGCACTCACACAAGTCCAGATGATTTAACTACTTTTGGCATCCTTTATTCTTTTCAGCACTTTCAGACCATGTTGAAGTCCAAGCTGAATGTCCTAACACTGAAGAAGGAGCCTCTGCCAGCGGTCATCTTCCATGAGCCAGAAGCCATCGAGCTGTGCACTACTACACCACTGATGAAAATGAGGACCCACAGCGGCTGCAAGGTACAGGGTGCCTGGCCCACAGGGGTTCTCTTGCTGGGACAGGTTCAAGGAGGAGCAGCCTTGAGACCCTTGATGGCTTTTGAATTCATATCTTGCTTTAATTTTCTTAATACTCTTGTAATCTTCATCATTTGGGGGCACACATTAAAGACATAGGCTTTATTATGCATGAATAAGATCATATTCTCCCCACATGCTCTAGCACTGTGACACTTCAGGCCTCCAAACCAAGTTTGAGCCTTAATGATACTTCTTCCCTTTGTATTTGCAATCTGAATAAGACATTTTTTAATGAATTAAAAAAAAAAAACTAAACCAGTTTTTCAGTAGTTGCACTCTGCGTCCTTTGAGGGTGATTCTGCATTTTTGCTTTGCTTCAGCTCCCAAAGTTTGTTCTCGTATTCATGCCTCAGAATCTATAAAAGAGCATTTTTCATTTATGCAAACTATAATGCCAGCCTGGAAAAATCCTAGAAATGAAAGATAATTTTGGTGAGCTTTTGGATTCTTTCTCATATGCTCTTCTTTGTTCCTTAAGTTGATGAATACAGTGATTGGTTTAGGGGAACACAGAAATGTGTTTTGTACATATTGTGTTATCGGAAATTACTTTTGAACAATGGAAAAAAAGAAGCAAAGAAAATGCATGTTTGCATATGGATTTCTCATGACCTTGTAGCTATGTCCTTATTGCTTGATCTCCCCTTCCTTTCTCTTTCTCTTATTACTGGGGCAGTGGTTCCTGGGCAGCCCAGGTCAGGTTGGAACCTCTGGCTGTCTTGGGCAGTGGTGTATGCTCAAACCTTCCACACTTCCATTCATTCCATGCAGCTCACTATGTGCTCAGTCTCTGCCAGGTCCTGAGGCACAGTGTGAGAAGACAGACCAGCATCTTCATAGCATTTAGCTGCTAGCTGGTGGGCCAGGGAGGAAAAAATACGCATCAGCCCGCAATGGTTGGTGAGAGAGCCTGAGGACCTGGGAAGTTGTGTTGAGTAATGGGGTTGGGCTTGGAAGAGCACTGTGGTCATGGCAAGGAGTTGAGATTTTGTTCTAATTACAGTGAGCTTTAGGCAAGTGAGTTATATGACTGCATCTTTAAAAATGATGTTGAATGGGGTCTCTGGTAAGGTGAACGCCCAGCTCCCTAGGGGCAGTTGCCAGGGACTCAGCTTTAGCTGGAGAGAGTGAGTCCACAGAACTGGCCTTGGGTCCACCATCTTTAATGTTCTTGGTGAGTGGGTGATACCAAGGAATTATAAAAATGCTCATGAATTTACAAGTAGTGTGAGACCAAATCTGCTGTACCTTCTTCAAAGCAAGATGCAGTCGACAGGGACAAATATACGGAGCAGAGTTGAGGGTGATAAAATCTTCAGAGTGTGTCCAAAAAAGAAGGGGGAAAAAATCCCACAATTACAGAAAGAAAAGAACCCAGCAATTTAATCTAGGCATAAAAAAGCTTGTGTGTGTTTGGGTGGGGTGAGGGGAACAAACGCGGAGGAGATATGAGATATTTGCTAAGGGAATAAAAACCATCCTTGTTTTGAAAAGGAGTATAGGGTTCACGATTCATAGACTGATTTTTTTTTTCTGTGTACTGCCTTAGGGTTTGTTCATTTGTTTTACTACTGAAAGGATGTTGGAAAAAAAAATAATAGGAATTCAGAAGAGCACACCAAGGAGGGTGAAGGCTGCCCTGGTATCCCTGCATGTGGCCGGCAAGATACAGCAAAATGAAGTAATGTTTTCAGTTAGACACAGGGTCGAACTAGCACCCCACTAGGTTGTTAGACATCTTTGGTGTCTGTATTGCTAGAAATCCTGAAGAGGAAATTCTGGGCATGGATAATCATCAGGGACGAGGGCCAGGGCCTCTTGAGGTCCTATCCAGCATTATCATTCTGTCTGAGAACTCTCACTGTGCCATTCTCCAAACTGTGTACTACAACTTCATCATCTAAATGGTAACTGGATTTACTTGCTTTAGTTCTCAAGGGCAGTATCATGTTTGTGTTCGGAGTCATAGTCCTTGGTTGAAAAAAGACAAAGGTAGGTGTTTCAACCTTCAAGTTTCTTTTGAAAACCCCCAGACTTCCCACAAGGTTTTCCGATCATCTTCAAGAACAAAGTCCAGTGTTTGTGCTCTAATTCTTGTGAGCAACATAGCTCTCAAGATGCCAGCTGCAGAAGGAACTCTGTCACTCGCTCACGTGTCCCAGGAATAATGAGCATAATGTAGCCCAGGCCCAGCTGCCGGGCCAGCACACGGGACCCTCTAGCTCCACACTGCTCTTTTTTGCTGACAGTTCTCAAGTCCTGCTTGCATAACATTGAGTTTGTGGAGGAAAAGAGGAAGGAGAAGGCAAAGGGAAGGGGGTTGAAATGGGATACGGTTAATACCATGGAGACCCACGGTCATCTCAGAGTTCCCATTTCCTCTGATCTGTATTCCCTGTGGGTCCTGCCGGGCTGGCTTTGCTGGGCTATTCATGTTTCAGGCAGCTGGGTCTTTGTGTGTTCTCCTCTTTTGCTGCCACTGTTTTTCCTGGAGTTGTGTTATTTAACCATGCAACCCACTGCATCCCATTAGGCTTCTTGTTGAAAGGGTTTTGCGTATCAGATGCTGTGTCTGACTCTGCAGCAGCGAACACTGTTTGTCACATGTCTCTCATCCTGCCCAGTGCGATAGAATCCCAGGTGGCTTCCGTTTGTTAGCAAACATCATCTGATTCATAGCCATGGAAACCTACTGTGTGCGTGGAATCTTGGCAGAAGCAATCAGAGTAGGTGTGGTGGAGGAAGCAGTGTACAGCCAAGTAGAAGGAATTAGGAGAGTGCCCAAATAAATAAATCACAAGGCCTTCCAAAATGTACATGTGTGTCAGAAAACCCTGGTAGGCAAATTCTAGGCCGATTCAGGCTCTCAGTTGTTGATAGAAACAGGAGCATGCACTTTAAAATATATCACTTAATTCTGGGGAGAATGAGCCACACGTGGAGCTCAAAGAGAGGGCATAAAGGGACAGGCAGTCTTTGAGGTAAAGGCTGGGGTGGAAGCTGATGTTTGGGGCTGGCCGGCATAGGTACAGTCAGAATGGACTTGCAGCCGTGGGCCGGGGGCTGACTTCTAAGGCAGAACTGGGCCTTGCCATTCCTGCATCGGGGGTGCTCTGTGTGTGCCACTCTAGGCTCCTGGGAACTGCACTGCTTTGTATGATTCCCCTCCAGACCTGGCTAGCAGCATTCTCAAAGCTTTTATAGATTATAAGACAAATAAAAATCATAAAAAGTAATAAAATAGAGATGCCCAAGAGCAGATGTGTAACACAGGGAGCACTCATCTGCGCACTTTTCAGCATATGGAAGTATTTCATCTTCATGACAGCCTGACAGTGTGCAGCCCCATTTTATAGACGAGCTAGTTGAGGAATAGAGAGGTTCCTTTGCCCGTCTCAGTGAGTAATTGGTAGAGCCTGGCAGTAATTGGCAGTTGGACTCCATAGCCTGTGCTCACCCCAATAGATGCCACGGACCAGTCTTCATGTCTCTCCACAGCTGTCTCTGGACACGAGTTGGCTGTTTGTGCCATGTGGTATTGAGCGAGTCCTTTCTTTTCTGTAGGTCTCCATTTCTGTACCCCTCATAGGCTGGCACCAGGGTCAGGGTATCTCATGTACTCTTGAATCCACAAGTCTAGAGTATCCAAAAAGCAGAGTGACAGCAAGGCAGGGTGGGGCAGGGTGGGGCAGGGTGGAGCAAGGGAGATCTTCCCTCTCTGGTTCACTCCCCAAATGGCTACAACAGCCAGGGCTGGGCCAGGCTGAAGCCAGGAGCCAGGAACTCCATCTGGGTCTCCCAGGAGGGTAGCAGGGACCCAAGCAGGGACCCTCAACAACTTCTCAGTCATGTTAGCAGGGAGCTGCACCAGAAGCAATGCTGGGACTTGAACTAGTGCTCTGATATGGGATACCAGTGTCATGAGCAGTGGTTTAACCCATCGTGCCACAACACTAGCTCCTGGATTTGAGCTTTTTCTTTTCTTTCAAAAACCAGAAAATATAAGGAGAGTATATAAAAAGCATCATGTAATTTAACCCCAGATGCATCACTCATATTCTCAAATTTAGCTTAATGAAGAAAGACCGTCTGGCCAGGTTCACCCCAGCAGCCTAGCTCTTCCCGCTCTCCTCCTTTTCTGTGCCCCCACTGCCCACGCGGAGACTTCCTTGTCTTCATCCTGCAGCTCAGCAAGTGTCCAGCAGCCTCTGCCCCTCCATCCTCTTACGTAGGCTGCTTTGCACAGAAGGCTCTGCCTGCCCTGAGCTAGGCACTTCGCCTGGTGTGGTGTGAAACCCCATTTCAGGGTCTTGATGTCTTCTTCCAGTTTATGAAGGCAGAAATCATTGAATGTTTCCAGGAAGGAGTCTGTAACTCCCAAACCATCACAGGTTTCCTACTGCCTTTGCCAAACTTCATTGCACTCAGCAGTGGTCTGAATAGTCCGACCCCAGCTCCCAGGAGGGAGATGGTCAATTTACAGCTTTGCCTGACCGGGGGAGATGTCCCTGGGCTGAAGGTTTTGCAAGCACTCCCCAGATCCCATGGAGAGCTTGAGTACAATGGCTGGCTCAGAAGTGAAACCCAGCCATTCAGCTTATCACATGAAAAGGGCTCTTGATTTGATTTGAGATATTTCAAATTAGCTTCACATGTATCTGTTTTCTGTGTTTAAATCTTTGTGTTTGTTTGATCTGTTATGGATTTAATGAGAAATATAGTCATGTTTTCCCATTTTGCTCACTCTAAACAAAGGCCCACTTTTTACTCATTAATGACAGAGGAAACATTGCTTTGATGATGATGTTGTCCTCCTCCTCGGATGCATCTCTGCATCCCTTTCTTGGTGGAGGTCATTTTGGGCATTGCAGGAATCCAGTTATTCTAATTATGCAGACTTTCCCTTGCAAAGTAAGTCTCTGATTTCAATATCAAGAGAC